GCGAGCTTGGACTTTTTCTTTTGCGAGAGGGGGCTTCTAAGGGTGTACAGTGCTGCCCTGGGGTTAGGACCGATGAGGCGTATGAGGGCCGCGAAGCAGAGGCAGCATAAGCGTGGCTTGGTGCCACGGTTGATGGGCTTGTTTTTGGTAAGAATGCAGGCACGTTTTCATTTGTTTTTGCCTGTTGGCTAGGGGTAATTTTGGTTGGCATATACAGAGATGCATATTCTTTTGCTGCCATCTCACGGGTGATCTCTCTGGCAGCTACCCGGGATGAAATGGCAAGGGCCTTCTTATAGAAGGGGCAGCGAGGGGATGATGCAGGGTGAGCACCTCTGCATGATGCACAGCATGGGCTGTCAGCATCACAGTTCTGTACCACATGGTTGGGTGATGAGCAGCGGGCACATACTGTACGTCTTCTACATGATATGGCGCCATGTCCAAACCTTTGACAGCCATAGCAGCGAGGAGGAGGTGCAAGGTAGGAGTGTACATTGAGGGCTACATTGTGAAAGAATACCTTGTCTGGTACGGCTGATGAGTATTCAATTGCAATGCGCATTGAAAGAAACTGGCTATTGTTAGGGTCTGCTACAACATGACTTGGATACAGCTTCTTTATGGCTATTATTTTATTTGAGTTTTGACTGGAAGGCAAAGTGAGCTGGGCAGTTAGGTCTTCTGGTGAGTAGCTCAGTATGGACTTGTCCTCCATATCAGTCAAGTCAAATACCACTTCACCTTGGTATAGTGGTGGAGTTTTGGGAATGCGGATTGTATATTTTATGCCATTGTGCTCATGGGTTAGCTCTGAATTGAAAAAGCGATTAGCATTAGCGGCAGGTACTTTACCAGTGATTAAGGTGCCTTTGGCATTGCGTTGAAGGCTGTCTGGTTCAATGAGCTGCAGGGCTGACCAGTCCTTGTAGGTTTGAGCAAAGAAGTTGAAGGGTAGTGATTTTTTATCCTCTCTCATCAGTAGACATGTAGCTTGGGTGGGCTTGTCTGCTTGAGCTGAGGGTTGTGGGCTGTTGGTTGTAGGAGTTTCAGTCGGGTAGGCAGATTTGGCTTGGAGTCTTGGCTTTTTGTTTCTTGCCGGCCGGCCAATCACTGGCGAGGCCGAGTCGGAAGGGAAGCCATCAAAGTCAGATTGGTCAATCATGTTTTCGCTGAAAAGATCTTCTGGTCTTCCAGATGATGACTCCGCCATTCTACTTCTTGTTTCTACACTTGGCACACTAGGTTCTATGAATTTACAAGCAAAAGATATTTCGATTGGTTCTGATTTTTTCGCACTTGCTTTTCAACACTTCGGCACAACACGTCTTCTCACCATGAACAATCGATGCAAACTCCCAGACAAAACAACAACAGTTGCGTTCGTCGTGGAAGCACGTCGGTGAATTTCAATCTCTAAAAAAATTGACTCAAAGCTTTAAAGTATTCAAAACCTTATTTATTTGATTTGTTTACTCAATAACCCGACTGGCTTTTTCCCTCAGAGGTTTGACGGTCCGCCTTGTTATTTTTACTATTTTTTTCTTGCTTTTCTAGGTAGACCTACCTTCTTTATTTAATTTTTGTCCAGTTAATTTATTTATTATTATTATCATTTTTTTGTTTCTTTGTTTTCTAACTTCTGTTTTTTCTGTTCCACAACGAAGATTTTAGTTGCCGGTTGCCTAACGGGCACGGGCCACGGGGTCAGGTTTTGGCCCACCTCCACCTGTGGTGCTTTGAGCAGCAGAAACTTTAGACAGGTGACCAAAATGGGAATATTGCTTACATGTATGTATTATTAGGTTAGGTAGTGTGTATGTGTGTTTAGTTTAGTATATATGTATATGTACATAATGTATGTATGTACATAGTGGCAAAGCAGAGAGTTTTTTTAGACTCTTCTTCAAGTTCATTTATGAGTCCTAAATGTAGACCAGTAAAGTATCCTGGATACCTGCATTATCATACATAAGAAATTGGTTTAAATTGAGGGTAAATGAGGAAATTAAAAATGAACTGATTCTAAAAAATCCCTGGTTTGTCACTATGCGTATGTATGTGCTGCTAATGTGCATGTATATGCATCATGCATCATGATGCATGCATCACCTAAATTATCTTACTTGTATTAGTTTACCAAATTTAAGTTAACTATCAATTATTATGCCGAGTTGGCTCTTGCTTTCTGATATTTTTTCATGTTATGTGTAACTTTTCTCTTACACGCCATCATAGTGGCAAAACACTGAAAGCAGAGAGTTTTTTAGACTTTTCCTCAAGGCTCAAGTTCATTTTTGAGTCCTATATATAAGTAGACCAGTAAAGTATCATGGATACCAGCTTTATCATACTTAAGAAATTGGTTTAAATCTTGAGTAAATGAGGAAATTAAAAATGAACTGATTCTAAAAAAGCTCTGGTTTGCCACTATGCACGCCATCATGCCCAACCATCACGTCTTTTTATCACGTCCAAGTTCCAACCTTTTATAAGCAACAATAAAGTGGATTGACTTCCATGCCAAGAGGTCTAAAACTGCAGAAGCTCTCAGGCCCAAGTGTCATCCTTGCGGTTGTCCTGTGGCTTTAAGTCCATCCAGCGTGGACACCCGGAGGCTGGAACAGAAGAAGAATTGGAGCAGCATAGGGCAAGGCTTGTGTTGGGGTCCTCAGGGAAGCATCTTCTGATGGTTTGGTGGTGGAGGAGTCAGTGTCAGACTGTGACTGTGAGAGCCTCATTGCAGCAACTCCTGTTGTTGTTGGTTGAATAAATTTACCTCTATAAGCATAAAAAATTTCACCTAATATGAAAAAAATGCATCATCATTCATCAGTTGTCAGAAAATTGTGCATAGAATGTCATCAGTAGAATTGTGCACCAGATTAATACGTATTAAATGAGAAGTAATTAACCTAAACTATGATTTATTCATACAAAAACAAGAATGGTTCTTACTAGAATATTACTTTCTGTTTCAGGTATGCTATTACAATCATTTTTTGTTATAGTGAATTCACTTGACCCAATTAAGATGGTGCAAAATTACAAGCCCAGTCCTGTTAGCTTACAGATACAAAAGAAATGCTATATGGCAGCTCATTATGGCTGCTGATATGAAGCTTACAGTGGTCAAAGTTGTTGTCAATGCCCATAGGCATCATGGCATGTCCATGGATATGGTAATATTGCTTCAATGATACAGTAATGTATGGATATGGTAATATATCAATAAAGGAGAAACAAGCACTAAAAAGGAACTACTGCTTTTTCCTTTATTGATATTATATTACCATATCCATACATTACTGCATCATTGAAGCTATATTACCATATCCATTGACATGCCATGATGCCTATGAGCATTGACAACAAGTGTCATTCCATTCATTCTACATCTACATCATCTACAAAGGAAGAGGACTTTGGAGTACTGTTAGTAATGGATGAGTACACTGCATGCTTCAAACCAGGGTTGGCAATGATTAAATCATGTGATTGAATCATTTGATTTTTTGTATAAAAAATAATAATTTTTTTATTTTTTTTATATATATTTAAATATATTGAGTGGCAGTCTTTAATTTATTTTGAGGTATTGTTATTCATGGTTTAGTATAAATGTACTATGACAAATTGGAATATGAACCTGTTGCCTTTAGTGTGTAATCACTGTGTATTATGTTCCCATCATTTGTATGTTTTTGGTACAGAGGCAGCAAGTGTTGCAATACATTGTACATAGCTAGCAGCTTAGCTAATTCTTATAAGGCTATAAGTAGTCTTTAACCCTTTACGCCCTGAATTTCTTGGACAAAAATCGTAAAATTCACTTTTTCGGTTTTAAGTCTCACTTTGAAGCTGACATTCTGACCTATCCAATGGTACCAAAATCATCTCTGTACGTTGATTTATGCCTATAGTGCTGTGCACTGTGCTATCAGCTAGTCACTACTATTCGGTGTGTATAGAGGGTAGAGTCTGGTAGATTTATAGGACATAAAACTAGTAGATGTATTGTAGTGCTGTGCACTGTGCTATCAGCTACCTGTCTGTTATGTGCACTGTGCTACCTATTTGTTATGTGACTCTTCAATGTTTAGAAAATCTGCATTCCTGAAATGTTATTGTATATTGAAGCCAGTCAATATTTAGCTTATTACCTTGCTCCATACAAACTTTACAAAGCTAATGAACAGACTGATCAATAATTGTTTACCCAAAAGTCCCAAAGTGGTAAACACCACCTTGGCCATTCTTGAAGACAATAACTGCCCTGTTTAGCCATCCATATACTGGTACTGTTATTGTTAGTAGTCTAATTGCAACATAAAAAATAACATTTCAAAAACAAAAAATCTGAACAAATCAAATAAATAAATAAAATCATGAAAAAATAAAAAAATATTGATTTTTTATTTTATTTTTATAGAAAAATAAAAAATCACCAACCCTGCTTCAAAAGTCTTAAAATTAAGTTTTATTTCAAGTTTCTCCAATTACCTCACTATTTGGGTTAATTGGAGATTCTTTTATTTTGTGTCTGGCACCTTGCAAATAGCATACAGAATTTTTTTGGAGGTGCCATACAATATTCCTTACTAAGACCTTTAAAATGAGCACAAATTTGTTTACTAAATGTTTCATGGTAAAAGTTATTGATAATAAACTCTCAAAACTGTCTCTTCTTACCCCATATGATGGTATTTCCTGGGAAGTAATTTAGCTATCTTAGCACCTTCCTGCAAGAAATTTGTTTGCTGACTAACTAAGAAATTAAAATCTATGTTTACTTTCATTTTTTCTCACAGTCAATAGCCTTATTAATATATTTTGTAGATTGTAAATAGAACTATTTTGTAGATAGATTATTGAAACTGGAAGAAAAACTGGTATTTAATTTGATGAAACTTATAGAATTATAGGAAAAGTAGGAAAAAATGCTATAAACCTTTCTTTTGTTTATTTTATAATTTAATATTTTTCTTTTTGAACAAAAGCTAGATTATTGATAGAACAGAATGAGCTGGTTTAAATATTTCAGCATTTTTTTATTGCTTGTTTTCCTGTTGCCTCATGAGACAAATGCGTCAAAAAGTCCTCCAAACATTGTCTTCATAGTAGCTGATGACTTGGTGAGTACCTGAGAAATCATGTTTTTTTTCATGCCATTCCCTATTACAGCAAATTTTCTATCTTTAAATACATTCGTTTCTTTCCATGTACAATACAGAAGCAGAGACAGACTAAATGGCAATTCTTTATTTTCTTCACCCTCTTCTCCTTTTATATACTGCCAAATGAATAGCCCTTCTGTGATAACTTTACCATTTTAGTACAGTAACTACTGCATTACATTTTAATTTACCATTTGTAATTACTTCTTAATTTCAATCATTTCTTGCAGGGCTGGAATGATGTTGGTTTTCATGGCTCACGAGAAATACCCACTCCCAACATTGACGCTCTTGCATACTCAGGAGTGATCTTGAATAACTATTATGTGCAGCCCATCTGCACACCATCGCGATCTGCTATCATGTCTGGCTTGAATCCCATTCATACTGGTAATGCTCCTCAGTTCTAAGTTACTGATTCTGAACTTATGAATGAAAGGCACAGTTATTGTAGTGGACTTACTTTTAAATGTTTCTTTTTCCATGCAAGAAAAAGTTATTATTATTATTATTTTTCTGGAGTAGAAACCTATTTTTTATTTTCATGCTTTAATGCAGCATGAATTCTTAAACCTACCTACTACTGTAGATTCTGATAGCATTTGTAGAAGAGAATTTTAGGATGCAGGCAAGTCTTATCAACTTGAGATCCTTCTTAATGTTCTATCAGACACAAAATGATCAATGCAAGATTGCAAGTGTTTGTGGAATAAAAATAATATTCGTTTAAAAATTGCTTTTTAAAGATAACACTTCTGAACAATCCAGTATCTTGGATGTAACACATGTACAATGAATTTCTAATTTCATTTTCAAATATTGAAAAAAAATTATTCTTCAAATTTTTTTAAGATATCAAAATTTTTAAAATTTTAAAAATTATTTATTCTGTCAATTGATTCATGCATTGTCTCTGACTTTATGCAATTGTGCAGAATTTCAGATCAATTGGACAGGTCAAATTGTGTCATATATGGATTATAAGATTTGTAGGAGATGAAATTATTTTTTAATTTTTTTAATATTGAAAAAAAATTTTTTTATTAATTTATAAAATTATTTATTCTGTCAATTGATACATGCATTGTCTCCAACTTTACGCAAGTGTGCCAAATTTCAAATCGATTGGACAGGTAGAAGTGTGTTAAATACCGATTATAATATTTGTAGCAGACAGACAGACAGACAGACAAACAAGAAGTGAAGCTAAAGAGAAGTGTTGTAAATGAGCACATGTTCATTGATGTTAGCAAGTGCAAGAATGATGATGATACAGTATATATATTGCCAATAAATGTGGTATGAACCAATTTGATACTGAAAATTTATCAGCAAATTGCCCTATAAACTTGCCCTTAGAGTTTTTTATCCAATGGTTTATTAATTAATTTTTTAGTAATTGTAACATATATCCGGGATTCTCTGAGGAGCTAGTAAAGTTTCATATTGTTATTCCCTGTAAGCATAAATCAAGTTAAATTCCTATTTCAATTTCTGTTTCACATTAAATTAGAGAAACTATGTAGGCCATGAAAAAAGTGGCATGTTCACATTCAGGTCTGCAGCATGACGTTATCTACGCACCTTCTCCTTACGGGCTGCCTCTTAATCTTACTCTACTGCCTGAGTGGCTGAGCCGCCTCAACTACAGAACAGAGGCAGTTGGCAAATGGCATCTTGGTCTCTGTAACCACAGCTATGCACCTTCAAACAGAGGCTTTGACCACCACTATGGATACTGGACCGGTCACATTGATTATTATGACCACTCAGTTATCCTTGGGGTGCGACTGCCAGTTTCATGAGTCCTATATGTTCAGTTATTTTCTTTGCCTGTCAATATTAATTTGTTTATAACAAATTATTAATACTGAATGTCTTGCCCGTTTTTGCGTGTTGTGAATCATATTATTTCAAAATGATTTTATCATTTTGAAGACGAAGAATGTATTTGGTAATGTTTGTTTTCAAGTACCTTGAACTTTTTCTTACATGTCTTTGGTGTAATTGAGTTTATTTTTAAAGGAAGCAAAATATGGCATAGGTATTGTAATCTATATTGAACTGCAGTGGTGAGATCACCAAGAGAAAATGAGTTAGACAAGAGGTCAAGCATGAGGAGCTCAGTTTATTTCTGGTTTATCTAAGGAGGGTGCATGTTAAGTGTTAAAGTCAGTGCACAAGCATCAACATCTGGAGCTATCCATAACTAATTCCAGGTACCTACAACTTACCTGAGGGATTCTTAGGATTTTCAATTTTATGTTCTACTCTTCATTCCACTTTCATTTTTTGTGTTTTCTTGTTATTCAGCATCTTTATAAAGCCTAGTTGCAATTTATTAGCAATTTTTTGTTCATGCATGTATCGTGTTGTAGACACCATGTCGGCATCTTTCAAAATTGTCTGATCAGAAGAAGAAAGCCAATATCTTTTTCAAATTGTTTTCATGTCTTTTAATATGTTAGCAACAGTGAATGAAAATTCAATTCTGTCTGCATGCAACTTTGCCTACACTGTGAGGGAACTGAGCTAATGGTGTGAGTTTTATTGTGTAAGACTTCAAAAAAAATTTTTTTATCCTTTGAAATGGTAGTAGCTAAGGTGTGTGTGTGACTGAATTTTTGTTTGCACATTTTCTTGATGGCTAACACTTGCTCAGTTATCTTGGCACATCGGCTTTCAATGGTTTATAATCAAGACTGTGTTAAGAAAAATAACAATGTTAATCACATTTCACTCCTATTGAGCCATCCAAGCCTAAGAAGAGAGAAATTGGTCAACATGACTGTGGTGTTTGCCTAAATATCAACATAATTGGATTGCAGTCTAAAATCCTGTATAATGAATTTAATTTTAATGTATGAGTTTTTTGTCAAACTAATGCTGTGTAGTATATTTAATTCATTACACACTTCGCTTCATCATGTGAACTGCACTTGAAAAACATTTGATTTAGTGAACTGGATTTGCAAGTCCAAGCCTGCTTGTTTCAGCTGCACCCTTGAAGAACAGCTTTGGTTGGTCAACTTCAGCCGTATAGAAATAGGCAGTAATGAAGCATAAAATGTTTGGAGTATTTCAACCATCATACTTTGGAAGGTTCATGAAATTTTAGCAAACATGTTGGATTGCCCCATTCCAATTTCATGTGAAAATCAGACTTGCATTGCGTTGTAGTTGGCAATTCTCATGCTCGACTATAATTAATGATTTGTTTGGAGTGCAGGCCTGCAACACGCCACAATTGGAGCCCCAAGACCCTATGGTCTGCCCCTGGCTGTGAAGGTCTTGCCTCAATATTTAAAGGAATCTGGCTACATTACTCAAGCTGTTGGAAAATGGCATCTTGGTTTTTATCAAAAGGAATTTACGCCAACATGGCGAGGATTTGATTCCCACTATGGATATTGGAGTGGCAGAGTCGACTATTATGATCACACAGCCGCTGAAGATGGCGTGAGATGCTGCTTGCTTTATTATCCATGTGTTCTTGAACCGTTTTCCTCTTCTTTTGGAGGCAATAATTATGCATAGAGCAGCAGGTCTTTGCTTGCTTCACTGAATTTGAGGTGTATATGGGCTTGGATTTTAGCAGTCAGAAAAAGCATATTTCTTCTTCCCTTAGTTGGCTTTTACATTGCATTTTTCTCTCAAATGAGAGAAATTTAAATATAAATAAGTAGAGAAGAGATATATTTATATTAGTAATATAAATACCTAATTAGAGAAATAAATAATTTGGCAAGCCTCCATTTTGCAATGCTGAGCTGTCACACAGCAAGTATCACAATGAATAAAATCGGTTTCTTTCAACTTGATTAATTTTGATGCTTGAACATAACTGTTTCTATTTCTTGCTCTGAAGATACAAAATTCATTTGATTGCTATGGTCAAAACAATTTACTTTTCTGTACTCCCTATTGACTTAACTAGTTTTATTAAGATTGCCCTATATGCAGGAGGTAAATGGCACACTGAAGAACATATTAGCTTCCATAGGCTGAAGATCGTTTTGAAGGAATGCAATCATTTTTTCTACAGGTATTTAATGCAATACCGTTAACTGGGATGACTTCAGCCACCCTGGGTGACTTTGGCCACCACTAGAACAGAAAGCAGAAAGAAATGGCAGCAAAACAAAATAATAAACGTTGGCCAAAGTGACCAGGGTGACTTTTGTCAACGTTTATTATTTTGTTTTGCAGCCATTTCTTTCTGTTGTAGTGGTGGCCAAAGTCACCCCAGTTGACAGTACGGTACTGCATTATTAATTTTGTCTGAACATTTTTGCTTTCTTCTGCTCCCCAATCTTCTTCTAAAGCAGTCATTTTTTCACTAAATTTAGATTTCTGCTGCATTTCTTGAAAAATGTTTATTGCCTACGGTATCTGTGGATATGTTACATTTTGAATCTGAAATAACTTTTATGCTGCTTGGGGTTTGTTTTTGTCCATCTTGTTGTGTCCTTAAGTTATGCTGTAGCAGGCAGTGGTAGAACAAATACCTTATTGCAAGTAAAAATTATTCTACTCTTATTATAAAGTTTTTGCACTGCATGTAAGTGTGGCTTACATCATTTATGTTGCAGGCTTGATGAAGTTTTGCTCTATTTTCTGATACTGACTTAATGTGCCGTTAAGTCATGTGTCAGCATTATTAGCATTAATAAACCTTATTTGTTCCCCAACGTTTCAGGCGAAGCTTGACACAACTTGAACTTTTTTATTTTAAGGAAAATTATTTCAACAAATCTTCCAAAATTAAAAAAAAACTCTTGTCAATGTATACCTAGTTATTTTCATTTCATTAATATTATTGTGCTGTGCTATAAATTTCAAAAATTTCAAAACTTACAGTAAACTGTTATCATAAAACTTCCGTTTAATATTTTAGTTCCAGAAAAATCAAGCAATCATGTTTTTCTATAAACAATGTCAATGTATTTTCCTGTTTTACAGCACATGTGGGGCTACGACTTCCGCCGTGACATGAACGTCGCTCGTGATGCGTACGGTGAGCTGTGGTGCTTCTTGCTATTTCAGCTGTGATGCTTTATTGCAAGATAGAAAGGCATTTCATCATGTCTACATCACACTCCGAACATTATAGTAGCGACAGTTGTCAAAATAGTTACTAGAGCACATGAAAGTTAGATAAGGTATTCAGACTGAAGGCTATATGACATGCTGTCATCAATGCTTCTTAAAACAAAGTGAAGAAAGTTAACAGCAAGACTCTATGATCATTTTCATGTTTGCATGTTGATCACACAAGCACTTGTATCACACAACTCAAGGAAGTCATGTTGTGTGCAGGAATCTACGCTACAGACCTGTTCACGACGGAGGCGTTGTCCATCATCAGCGTGCACAACACCAGCAGGCCGCTGTTCCTGTACCTCGCGCACCTCGCCGTGCACTCGGGCAACCCATACTCGCCCCTGCAGGCGCCCCAAGACTACGTCAACAAGTTCTTGTACATCAAGGATGAGAGGAGACGCAAGTTTGCTGGTCAGAACTGCTCTCATGTTCATGGTCCTTGTTTCCCTACTTGAAATTCATGAAGTTACTGTAATAAAATAAAGTACTTCCATGTATGACGCTCTAAAACTAAGAATGATAGTTTAAACATTTAAAAAGTGGATTAGTCTTGCTGAAAGATCAATTACTTTGCTTATCTATTGCTCGTGTTAGGGTTTTGATTATGAATAAACTATTTATGCTTACCTACTTTTTATAACTTTGTTAGTATTACTAGATTGGTGAAGCATTGATGGTAGGTATAGCTTTCATAATACGATGTGTCATGCGTTGTCATAATAGTTGTTTCCATAAAATTCATATCCATGGCAAAAAAATTATGACATGGACTATTTTTCTCTGTAACAAGCCATGCTGACGAAGCTAGACGACTCGGTGGGCGCTGTGGTGACGGCGCTGCGGGAGCGCAACATGCTCGACGACTCAATCATCGTCTTCACCACCGACAACGGCGGCCCCGCGGGCGGCTTCAACGACAACGCTGCCTCCAACTGGCCGCTCAGAGGGGTGGGACATGTGGTGGTGACTCTTGTTGTGGTAGTGATTATTGGTGTTGTGGTAGTGGTGATTGCTGGTGTTGTGGTGGTGATTATTGGTGTTGTGGTTGTGATTATAGGTGTTGTGGTTGTGATTGTTGGTGTTTTGGTAGTGGTGATTGCTGGTGTTGTGGTGGTGATTATTGGTGTTGTGGTTGTGATTGTTGGTGTTGTGGTAGTGGTGATTGCTGGTGTTGTGGTGATGATGGTGAACGTTGTTTTGGTGGCGGTAGTGATTGTAATGATGGTTGATGGCTGGTGTAAGTTACTGAATGGTGTAAGTTGCTGCATGGCGTTTACTGTGATGGCGGTAAAGATAAATTTTCCATAGAAATGTGAGCTTAATGGCTGTTGCTACGGCGATGAGTCATGTGCCATCATCCATTCAGTTCACTGAATGCATCAATGGCGCAATATAACTCCTCGAATCGCTGCCTACAGTCATGTTGTTCTGTGCAGGTGAAGGCATCCATGTGGGAGGGCGGGGTGCGCGGCTCAGCTTTCGTGTGGGGACCGAATTTTGTCAGCCAGCCCCCGGGGACAGTGTCGGATCAGCTGTACGCCATCGAGGACTGGCTCCCCACCCTGCACTACATCGCAGGTACCGCCATCACTGAGACATGCTCCCCACCCTGCACTACATCGCAGGTACCGCCATCACCGAGACAGGCTCCCCACCCTGCACTACATCGCAGGTACCGCCATCACCGAGACAGGCTCCCCACCCTGCACTACATCGCAGGTACCGCCATCACCGAGACAGGCTCCCCACCCTGCACTACATCGCAGGTAACATCATCACTGAGACATGCTCCCCACCCTGCACTACATCGCAAGTACCATCATCGTCAACTATAAGCTGTGTTACCCGCCAATGCGTTGTATTTAAATTATAGATGTTTGTAATTCTTGTTACTTCCTTACAATGTCATTTTATGCAAATGAATTCGAGTTCGGAGAGTGTGAGAGCAGAATCCAGCTCAGCTAAATAGAAACATCACAAATATCATTATTGAAACTGATGATCTCAGTTTAAAGCCAGGAAAATAAAATACATATTGATGCAGATAGACATTGCATATTTCTCGTAGCATCACTCACATGATGCATGACACGCCACTCGTACAGTGCCCGGCACGCCACTCGTGCAGTGCCCGGCACGCCACTCGTGCAGTGCCCGGCACGCCACTCGTGCAGTGCCCGGCACGCCACTCGTGCAGTGCCCGGCACGCCACTCGTACAGTGCCCAGCACGCCACTCGTACAGCAGCAAAGCTCACATCACTAAGGTTATTCCTCCACCCCCATCAGGAGGCGAGGCTGGTCAGCTGCCGCCCCTGGACGGCGTGAACATCTGGCCGAGTCTGAGCAGCGGGGCGCCGTCGCCCCGGCAGCATCTCCTGCACAGCATCGACCCTGTCTTCGACGGCGCCGCCGTCAGGAGCGGCGACTGGAAGCTCTTGTTCAGTAAGAAAACTCCAGCCTCTGACATATGCTTCTAAATTAGCAAACCATTCTAGTTACCATAAAATATGTTAGCCGACATCAACAAGACATGAACTCAGCGAAACAGCATGAGCTGGAAAACGCAGTAAAACCTGGCACATTGCAAATTTTAATCGTTATCTCACGTAGATCTCGTAATTAAAACAACCACATTTCTGTCGCTGCAGTGCTTTGGAAACGAGCAGTTTTGAGGCCAACCATGAATGGCCAGCGACCCACTGGAGCTGATTTGCTCTCGCCAACCGCAGGCCATTTCTTTCCACGTGCCGAGTAGAAAAGCTGTCTACTAATTCCTTCATACCAGTCCTTGAATGCACGACGATCTCGCGACAACTCTTGTATTAATCTACTGAGTTTTTACTGCTTATTTGGTTCAATCCGTTCTATCTTCCACTAGAAGTCCGATTCAGGAGTGAGTGGCATACCGATCCGTGGCGAATGAATAGTAAAACCAACGCACATCAATAAAACACCATTAAATTCGCACGCTTTGCGCAGACATCGCGGTGCCAAATTAACCTTCACGACAACAGTTCTAATAAAAAAATTGCATAGGTTATCTAAATGTCCAGTTTGAAAAAAAACATTCACCGCAGTGATACACGCTTATAATTCCATAGTATTTTTCCTGGCAAAATATAACCTTATTCAGCTTCTTTTTGCTAAGTACGATGAAAAAACAATCATTAAGGTTTTTTAAGGGATATGTTGGTGAGCAGAAATATTTTGTCTTAAATTCGTATTAACGACGAATATCTCGGCAGACCCATCTGGCTATGAGACTTACTGGGACAGATGGTTTGGCCCGTCTGGCCGCAACGAAACTGCCCCTGAAACCGACCTGTCGTTACTCATCCGCAAGATCAGGGAGAGTCCCGCTGGCGTCGCGGTCCTGCAGAAGAATCCCGACGCTCTCGACAACATCACGCGCAGCAGGAACGCGGCCATGGTGCGTCTTGTGCTTGTTTTATTGTCTTTGTGAAAAGTAATCGACTAGAAAGTAAAGCCGCTGAAATAGGTGAGTAGATAGTCATCGACTCTCACATTCATAGTTGTATTAAATTCATATCAATTTTTCACAATTACATCATTATGTCATTTATTTCCAGATCAGAAATCATTTCTGTAATCATTTGCACAATAAATTATTTAAGGGAATCGTCCTATTTGCTTATTCGTGTTCTCTCGAATTTTTTTAGTTTGATCCCGCTGTAAGACTAATTTTTCGCCCCTGCAGGTGAACTGCACTGCCACGCCGGATGAACCGAGCTTCGTATGCCGGGGTGCGAACCTAAGCAGTGCTTGCCTATTCCATATTCCGTCTGATCCTTGCGAGCAGAACAACGTCGCCTCAGAGAACACGGATGTCTTGAATGTGTTGCTGCAGCTCACCTCACAGTACAACAGCACCGCCGTGCCTATACTGAATGCACCTCTTGACCCAATCGCTAACCCGAAATACTGGAATTATAACTGGAACAACTGGCTGGACTTTCCTCCGCCTCCTGGTGTTAACGCATCTCAACTTAGATTAGAGGCCCAAGAATCCATGGGTCTCAATGAGAACCTTTTTGATGTTTTCAGGTTTACTCGCAAGTCAAGCGCGGTCATTAGCGCTCCGTGAAGTATATGTGACAAATATGTCTACAAATGACAAATTGGTTGACTAATTCCCAGTGCAAAATTTAGAAAAAGTATCATTTGAATTGACAAGGTTTACTTTTTCGTTATGCGCCCAAGCTCGAAGTATGTAGTCCCAGGGCTGGTGATTTGATGGAATATTGACCCTGAGAGCCTTTTTACCAAACAAAAGCTCCTTTGTCTGGTCACTCCTTAGGATATTAGTTTGTCATGTATAGTGAAAGCACTATTCTAGTTAATTGAGTTCTTATTTTCGTTGATCTTGCAAGTGATTCAAAACGTTATAAGTTAATTTATATTTTGATTTTAATTCTTGTGTTCAGATTGATAATTCAATTGAATCTGCAAATTTGTATTATGGAATACTCATTTCTCTATGTCCATAGAGCATTGAAATTAGAGTTCAACTTGTTTAATTCACAAATCATGCGGAATTGTAAAATACATATTGTAAGTTATGAGTACCAACTTAGTACTGAACTTACATAGTTGGAAGAATTTGTGGCTTCTTTGGTGTCTAATATTGCTGTCGCTTTTTTCCCCACATTTTGTTGTGTATGAATATGAGTCTAGTGCATCAGATTTTGTTATCTACTCTCATACTTCGAGATGTTCGAGTGTACGCAATCAAGTAACTCTTTCTTGTCTTTACTTGCATCGCGGACAAACGACATTTCCACGCTATTGACTCCTTAGCGTCTGTTCATACTCTTTACAAAAAGTTTAATGTAGGGTTCGGTGCCGTTGAACTAAGGCCAGGATTTGTAGCTGTTGCATTAAAGTTAACAGAATTTTCATCTGAATATGAAATAAATAAATATTAAGTGAAAATTTGCCATTAGTGAAAATTTGTAAACATTTTTGTATTTTACCGTTTGCGTTTTTTTTTTCAATTAAATAAAGTAACTGTTTAGGTGTTAAAATTACTAGATTGCTTAAATCGCTAGTTTATCAGGAATTTAAAAGCAAAGAAAACCGCCAGAATACTAACCATTTCTTAAGAATGAAAACGTTTCGGAGTTCAGCTTCATCGTCAGTTCAAAAGTTCAAACCTATAAGAAAAGCAAATCAATTAGATCTGTTACGGTAATCTGCTTTCCTTATAGGTTTTGAACTGACGATTGAGCTAGACTCCGAAACGTTTTCATTCTTAAGTAATGGGTAATATTCTGGCTGTTTTCTTTGCTTTTAAATTCCTGTTTAGGTGTTGGCTCAGTATTTATCAGCTTTTTGGGACTGCAATAAGTGGAAGCTTTCAACGGTAAAGATGGTCTCAAACAATACGCTCAAGATCTCAAGAATTGGTACAAAAAATGCTCAAATATAGAAACAGTATCTAATAAAACAGCCTAGTTATAGCATCAGCTTCAGACCTTATAAACTATGCTGAAATATATTTTTCACGGAAAATCTTTTCAACTATGAGTCTCGCTTTATTATCAGCGAATTGAAGCACATCACTCGGACCGGTTTCACATCGCAATATTAGCGCACGTGTTGAATTTCAACGAATATCTGCAACTGTATAATGTGCCTACGTTCGTTACGTTGTATAGTTAATTACATAATCATTTGTTTGATTGAAATATAACAAATAATGACTAGATCATATACGGTAATCCATAAACGATAACACTCGGATTAACCGTACAACAATAGCATATTTCACTACCGTAACATCATAACTTACTTAGCTCGTTAATCAAAATTTCTTCCATCCTTATCTCCTCATGTGACAACAGCACGCTACACACTCGTCAACATTACGGTTATTTTTGCAACAAATTAAAACATTGTCATCTAGTAAAATTACTCGTCAAACGCGCCATTTTCTTGAAAAAGTTCACAGTAAAGTTATAAATGCACCTGTTTTACTTCCTTCCTACGGCACCGCAATATCTACAACAAAGCGTTTGAGCAAGTGCTAGGGAAGCAACCAATTAGATCTGCGATTCTTGCGCTCCATGGAACAGCCTGATCAACTAGGGCGTTTAAGTGATTACCATTTAAATGTTCCAAACAAAATGTTTTAGTAACTTCGATAAAATGAGGAACCTAGTAACAATAATCCACTTGGCTAAACTACTATTGAACACAGGCCAAGGACTGACTTCAGTTGCGAAACTTGTTGATCCGAAGTCTAAGATTTGTCATTACTTTTCTGTGGCGAAAACAGATTTGCCGTTACGGTGAATTTTGACAGAGGTAGTTTCCCCACTCACTGGTGCAATTAAAGTTTTAGTATACTGCTAAAGTTGATATAACTTGGATCTCGTGAATTGGACTGCTGTCTACCTATACATCTTTTAGCGCGTATAGTTTGCTTTCAAGTTCTAGAATTCTTTGTTGAAGCTCTTCTAATCTTGATAAGCAATCAGCACAGCTTGTACCTTCCTGCAAAATAATGATACATCTTCAGCATTCAATTGAGTCTTTGAAGCCATTTTAAAGAGAATGAAAAATTGCATTTTTCCGTAATTCTGCACTAAGTATGAGCAAAAATGTTATTCCTAAGACCTGCTATAGCCTATTTGAACAAACAACGAGTGTCTTACCACAAGAGATGCATCGTTGATCAGTCCGGCTCTCCGGTATAGCTGCTCTAAAGCGGCGCGGTACCCCGCGTCAGTGTACAGACCGCTGCGCCAGTCAGTGAAGAGCTGGTCCCAGTGGTGACGATGGTGGTGCTGCAGGCGAGGGTATACCGCCATCACGGAGTCGTCCCCACACACCAGCGGCGTGACCACGACTGCCACGTAGAAGCACTTACTCGGCTCCTCCACTGACGCTATGTGGGGATGTGCGCCGCATTGCAGCTCCACCTTACCAGCAATTAGACATTATTTTTAATACATTTAGAATACTGGCAAGTCAAAAGCTCTAAACGATCCACCTCATGAAAAAGTAATGCGTCTCTAAATAAGATTGTTGTATTTAATAACGTCATGAATGATTTCATTCTGCGACTTGAGAATGAAGCATTGCAAGTAAAATTAACCAGCATGATTGTGATCATACATCACTAGTACGTGGAAATGAATTATAATGCAAGCATCTGAATACAGTGTATATTACTTTAGCCTTGCGATGAGAGACCACAGTGGAATTAGTAGAACAAGCGTGGCCGAAGTCATACAAGAGGGCCCTAAACTGACCATTCTCTATTTCCCAGCTGCGCCACACACTGAAAAGAAAACAAGTTTCCAAGGAAAGGGGAAAAAATAATTTTTTTAACGAAAATAATTACAAGTGAGCAAATTTTTGCAGCTGTCAAAATCAACTGATTGCAGATTTTCAACATCTACAAATGTTTATCTTGAGAACTTGGTTATCATTCAACTGACTCATAAGTAACTCTCTTATAAATGAGCAATTAATGTGTTGATTTGAAACTAATTGTAAGCCAAAGCCCCTGTGCGTACCAATGTAAGAATTTACTAAAGCAAGTTACTGACCCAAGGGAGCGTGTGGGAGACAAATGGTGTGTTGATGAGCTACCAACTTCTTTCTGAGAGAAAGACTTGAACATACAAACCTGGTACTCATACCTGGAGAAGGAAGAATAATATTACTTGGTACAGATACAGGACATCTAAGTTAGAGGCTTCACCCAAACGATTTGGAAGGTAGTTATATGACTATAACTGTAATATATGACTATTATGATACAAATATTGCAAATGAATATGCCAGGTGTTGAGGAATTTGAGACAAAATATGCTCCTTTGTAACAACATAAAAAAAATTAACACCTGGAAATTACAGCAAAGATTTTTTATGGAAACAAAAATTGTGCTCATATAATGAGAAATCAATCCACGATTCAATAAGTCTACTCAACCTGGTAGAAACTTTGAGTCTAATGAATTAAAAGATTTTGACAGATAATTCAACAAAAATGTGCAAAGAGAAAGAAGATAGAAGTTCAGAAAATTGGCATTACTTTGCATCTAGGAATTTGTAGCAGGAGTTGATTATAGGCCGCAAATGATCAGGCCCAGTGAAATTACTGGGTTTTGCTGCAGCAATGTGAACTGGTGCATAGTATTCCTGCAGCCTTTCCCCACTGCCTCCACTGTAATGATAAAAACCATTACTGACGGATTTATGAAATCATATTTTCATATAACACTACATTTTCAGAATGAGTTTTCCTAATTCATCCTCTTACTGAATGCATTATAATCAACAAACATAACACATAATAAATGAAACTGTTGCACAAAGAGGCTAAGGCTACAACAAAGCTAGAAGTTAGATAACCATAAATCAATAAATATGTGTAACATATAACAGTTTAGTCTTGAAAAATACATAAGAAACTACATATGTACAAACAAAATCATACAAATTGAGATTACCTTACTGGGCCCATTTTATCTTGCACAAACCTAGAGTTGTATTTCAGAGGTAGAAAATAACTCACGGTAGTCGGTACTGACTATAACTCACCACCCAGCGGCCAGGCACCCACCTTGATGAATGAAGATTGTGGTTCTCATTAGCAGGGCCAGGAGGCCAATTGACAACACGAATCAAGTGATCATCCACCAACGCTGGAGATAAGACTAAAAATGTTGCCAGAATGGCACAGATGCGCAGTGTTAAATAAGAACTCATCATGTCAACTTGTGATTTGTGAATGAACCTAGGCCCCTATAACTTTATAAGATACCTACTTTATTGCTTACTGATAGGTAAAAAAATTTAAACTTTCATTTCCTGTTCTTATTCAATAGTGAAACCTCTGCAGACTAAATTATACAATCATTATTATATTAGCTAGCAACCAGGCTGGAAGTTGGGCTTAGTTGGCATTCCAGATGTGGGTTCTAGATCACAATTTTTCAGGTCAGATATCATTGCTCAGTAGTAACGGCCACTATTTGCTTCATTACACGAGTATTGCCTGCTTTATGGGGTTAATAGCTAGTAGTGGCCACTGGCCAGTAGCTGCCTGTTATGAGGCTACTTCCATCCAATACGTTTTCAACTTTCAAGTAGCAGATATGAGATATCTATGGGTCACACTTGAAAGCTGAAGACGATGAAGTGCAGAACATGTGGCGAATAATAGGTCGATCAAATGTAGCGGAGATTTGAGCAATTTCGTAATTTTAGAAGCAGACACTGCAATAGCATATCAAGGCAATAATATATATAACACTGGTGTTAAAAGAAACAAAAATCTTTAACCATAGCGTTTGAGGCAGATATACCCATTCTCTGCTTAAAGTTAAACATGTTAAACGATTAATCACCTTTCATTTCAAGTGAAACCTGATGATCACTTCAGGTTTCACAGGTTCAACGCTGATATCTCAGAGATTTTTCAACCTAAAGAGTTTGGAGTGATTAAATAAGGTGAATTAATCACTTATTCAATGTAAATCACCACTCAGCACCTGACCACAAAATTTAGCACTCGCCATTAGTGCTTAGCAAAAAACGACCTCTTACGGTTTAACTAGTTCAATGCTTATATCTCAGAAAATATTCAACCCACCCAGAGAGTGCGGAATGACTATATATACATTGAATAAGTGATTGATTCACCTTATTTCATCACTCCGCACTCTCTGGGTTAAATATTTTCTGAGATATAAGCGTTGAAGTAATTAAACCGTGAGAGGTCGTTTTTCGCTAAGCACTATAGGCGAGTGCTAAATGTTGTGGTCGAGTGCAGAGTGATGATTTACATTGAATAAGTTATATAAGTAATTGATTCACGTTATTTCATCACTCCGCGCTCTCTGGGTTGAATATATTCTGAGATATAAGCGTTGAAGTAGTTAAACCGTAAGAGGTCGTTTTGAGCTAAGCACTATTGGCGAGTGCTAAATGTTGTGGTCGAGTGCGGAGTGATTATTTACACTTTACAGTGAATAAGTGATTGATTCACCTTATTTCATCACTCCGAACTCTTTAGGTTGAAAAATCTCTAAGATATCAGCGTTGAACCTGTGAAACCTGAAGTGATCGTCAGGTTTCACTTGAAATGAGAGGTGATTAATCGTTTAACATGTTTAAACAGAGAGCGGGTATATCTGCTTCAAACGCTGCTTCAAACGTTTCTTTTGACACCAGTGTTATATGTATTATTAGTGATTTGCTATTGCAATGTCTGCTTCTAAAATTACGGAATCGCCCAATTCTCCGCCGCATTCGATCGATCCATTATTCGCCACATGTTCCGCATCTCAGCGTCTTCAGCTACTTCAGCGCCTTCAGCTTTTAAGGTCCCCCCTCCGGAAAAACTTCTACAGTTATCATCCGATCATCATGAAACTTCACATACATACGTAAAATGTAAAAATAAGAACATTTTGCTCCTATGAATTTTTCGAAAAAATTGATAGAAAACGTGGAATTCATAGAAAACCGCTAAAAAGGGGTACTTTAGAAAATCTATCTCCTCCTACAAATATCATCCTACAACATCGAGACACGTATCATTCTATTCGTAAAGACCATACCTATAGACTCTGTGATCACTTTTTTAATTGTCCCCTTAGTTTTTTTTATGCGCGTTTTATCCCATTTTTCCTCTTTTCCCCCCTCCCCCCCTTTTCCTCCATATAAAAAAAAACGAACCAGACTGAAATTCAAAAAAGTGATCACAGAGTCTATAGGTATGGTCTTTACAAATCGAATGGTATATGTCTCATTGCTGTAGCTTGAAAACTGTAGGAGGAGATAGGTTTTCCGTGACAGTAAGTTGAACTTTTCAGGACGGCGCGACAAAGTCCCGTGCGCCTCAAAATAGGCACTCAATGTAGCATGGATACCAAACTACAGGCTTCTGTAGCTTAATCCACTCAAGGATGCTAGCAGCACCTTGTAGCGCACCTCTACGTACAATGTTAGGAGGGTAACTGAGCTCAGATGCCAGATACACCAAGATATGTAGTCTTGCCGCTGTAATTTTCTAAGGTCTATTTAGTGAAGGAACTCCAACCCCCGCCCCCCATTAAAGCCCGGCCATCTGCGTCAATATTGCCGTACATGGATCGCAGTAGTATGGTTGGAAAGCTCAGAATGTCAGCTTTAAGATGAGACTAAGCATGTAACTGCAGAACAACTCAAGTAGAAACTATATTCAAAGATTTCAGCAGCTAATTACTTTATATCTAATTACTTAAAGAACTCTCTCACCCGCTTCCCTTTAAAGAGACGTCATGAACGTAAATATTGGCGTACAGCGATGCCAGTGGTACCATTGGAAAGAGCAGAATTCCAGCTTTCAGATGAGCACAAAAACCGAAAAACGCCACAATTGAAAATTTTAGGGTAGTGGGTCCCCTTAAGTGTGACCCGTTTCATGGACCTGACATGAAATTTTACTAAGTAAATTTTCAAAAATTCGATACAAGAGTTTAATGTTTTCTGGACGTTTCAGAACATTCTCTATCGATTAGTTCGATCGAAAAATAAACTTTTCTGTGACCTATTATGTTGGTGCGACGAAATTTGTCTGAGTAAATATCAATATTTTATGTGTAAAATTAAAAGTTTTTTCGACGTTTCAGATGATTTGCAGCCTTATTTTTTTTAACCTGGTCCTCCGGACCGGTCCGGGTTTTAGTCAGTACCATGTCAGAGTCAGACCACTGCTCGATGACAATGATGGTGGAAGATTCCGTTACGGGCTTTGCTGTCGGGCGGACGTGTGTTATTAGCTGCTCTGTTCTTGGGGTACTCGATGCTAATTGATCGTTTTCCCTGACAATTGAGGAGACTTGGCATTCGATAATTGCTTTTCTGTGGGCCTTATTTGTAGCAAAAATCACATAGCCTATTCATACGTTCTGTTTAGTTTTCCTAATTTACTTTTTGTTTGTTACTTAATTATTTTATTTTTGTTAGTTATTTTTATTATTTATTT